GTTCATTATTCATCAGGTTTAATCATTTGAAATACAATATTTAGGATTCTTGGAATCATATTACCTCAAAATCATCGTCGGAATTCTGGTATAAGTTATGAAATGACAGCCATCCGTCTCTGAAGAAAACAAAATTGTCGTTAATCAAAATGTGTGATTTTTTAATCGTGCAGCGCGGTGCCACAAATTACTATTACCCATAACACACACTAACATTGAGATAAACGCATGACATCCCTGTTTCGCAATGTGTCACCCCCCCCAATAACAGCGTACAGAAGAATGCGCTCTTACAATGACGTTCACAATTCGAATCTCCGACGTCACAAACAACGTGAATATAATTCTGCACACACATAAAGACTAGTATGGTCAGAACGTCCTATCCAGGTAGGAACTAATATGTCCACCATGCAGTAAACGACACCTGAGTGTAAGTAATCGAAATTACGGCACATATACGAACATACCACGTAATGTAATTATTAGTGTTATGTGTTACCGACTGTAGACAATTCGTAGATGAATTGTGGATGACATAATGTGAATGTTATCTACCAGTGAATATACAAACATAACTTTCTTATTTTCATGCAATGATTTATTGAAAGTACACGAACTGTATACCAATATATAGAGTTGATTTTCAACTCTCAAATTGTACACACGTGTTTCAACAACGTGGTTTGCCTTATATTTGCCTTATTACATCGTAAGGTAGAATTAGAATAATTTAATCAGGGGGTTTAGCTTTTAATTTGTTGTCTCTATACTAAAATAAAGGCGAAATATGCCCCAGATTTGTCTGACAAGGAATTTTTTCTCATTTGAATAATATTGAAATTCAAATTGTTCGATATGGTTTAAAATTTAGTGTTTTAGTTGATTTAACGAATAATATGTACACCCAATACGTACCGTTGTCCTTTCTCTTCTGATACCAAAATCTTGTGTTTGAGATTCTTATGTCCATACTGTAAAAGAAAATAGAGTTAAATTATGAGTTAAAATAAAGATAATAGCCCACTACTGTTATACTACGGAACTACGATGTGATTCTTTGGAACGTGGTTGCTTAAGATGTATACATGATGTCATTGGTTGGTAATATCCACGTGACTTACCTGGTCTACCATCACTGCGTGTTCTTCGTCAGTAACTATGGTCATTGCCTTTGCCGCACTCAGTCTATACTTGATATCACTGGTAGTCAGTTGTGGCGACCCTGGACACAACACAGCTCCTACGAATTACGCAACAATTGTTGAACCCCAGCGATGTTTTGGGCAGCACAGTTAGCATTATACTCAAATTAAAGGGCGGTAGTCGTCGCGCCACGCATGCGCGAAACATATGGTCTCATATAAACAAAGATAGCGACTTTGCGCAGACGAATGAATACAAACTAAGACGTTACCGAGCTTTAGTTAGGTGGAAGGTATCGAAAGAGTCACCGGCGGTAATTAATGCAAATGCAGGTCAATACTTGTGATTTCCATTAGAAGAACGCATTGGATTGTGGGGAAATCAATCAACACAAATATCGCACATGCGCAGAACGACGACTGCCGTTCTTTAAGGAATTAAGAATGCAAAGAAATAATACTAGTTTCTTATAGAGCCTTTGTCATCATTACATCATTTCTCTGGCAAAACACAGACACGTCATACTTTTTAACTGAGCACAATAATTTATCTAGATGTTGTCTGACCTCGTTCCGTTTTCAACAAAACGACTTTAGATTAATTCATTTAAATTTGATTATACATTGATAAATGTAATTATATAATATTTGCCTTATTTAATACTATTAGTTGTTTTTCTGTAATATCGATGATGCTAAAAAACTAATTGTTCACTGATAAATATACAATTGTACCTATTCGTTGGCAAGCTAAACACAATAACCACCATTCAGGAACACGGTGTAAAATTACCATAACTCGATCTCCTTTTCTTATTCCACAGACATTATAAAGAAATTTTGCTGTTCTGTAATAAAATGTATTTGTTTGTTATTTAACGCAGTCGTATTTAATGTGAGTTCAATGCGACGTTGGCTACCATTTGAAGCAAGGTTACTGAAGCTCATGGTATGCCGTTACTTGTACAACACGGCCCAAATTCTTTGGCCTTTAAGAATGAATCTAATTCACGGTCGTCAAGCTAATTGCCCAAATCACGCACCTGTGACTGATAAGAGGTATATACTTATATATTTATAGAGATATACCTGGCAGATTTTGATTTTAGATCCTGGAATGACCATTTCAGTTCGTCGCCATTGTTGTTGGTCCACCAGAACGCTGGTATGCTAGTATTGCGCTCACCTGTCTGTAACATTGGTAAATATAAATAATATTATACACAATCAATACAGGGAATGTGTGTGAGTCCAATATCGCAAAACAATTTAGTAAAAATTGTACAATTTACACCCATATTATAATGCATGGTCAAATCTCTAAAGCGAGTTTCATGTGTAATCGGTTGAACAACATGGTGATGGACCTAATAGATGAACATGGAAATAAGCTGAAAGCATGGGAATATTGCTCAAAAAGTATATATTATGATTGTTTCTATACCTTCTGAGATACGTTGTGTAAACCACAGGGAGCCCAGGAACTATAATCAACTGTAATACGCAGTCTCTATGAGCGGGGGGGGGGGGGGGGTTATCGGCTGGTATCTAGTGTAAGAAATAGACATAGGATGAAGGCTCCAGCCAGCTCACATTTTTTAAACTCGAAAAAGCAGACG